CCCCCCCCCCAGCTCCTGGCAATGCCCGTGTTTTCTGTCCCTATAGCTTTGCCTTTTCCGAAACGTCATATAAGTTGAATTTAAGAGTATGGTGCCTTTTCAGCTCGGCTTTTTAAAACTGAGCATGAGTCCGAGATTCACTCCTGTTGCTGACTGCTCCGCCGGCCTGTTTCGTTCCATCCTGAGCCCTATCCCACTGGACAGACGGACCATCAGTTTGCATCCATTCGCCAGCCGATGGGCAGCAGCATTGTTTTTGGCAGTTACACGTAAACTACTATAAACGTTCACACACAGGTTTTTGTATAGATATGTGTCTTCCTTTCTTTGAGGTAAATACCTAGAAGTATGTGGTCAGCGCTTGACAACATCAGGTTTCTGTTGGGTTTGTTTAAGCCATTCTGACAAATGCACAGCAGCATCTCAGAGTGGATTTAATTTGCATTTCCCTAATGACTAATCATGAGTATTTTTTCATTAGTTTATTTGCTACCCACGACTATTCTTCGGTGAAGTGTCTGTGCAAATGTTTTGCTGTTCTATTAGGCTGCTTGTCTTCTTATTACTGGGTTGTGAGAGCTCTTTGTATACTCTGCATATTGGTCCTTTATCAGATATGTGTCGCGCAAATATTTTCTCCCAGTCTGTGGGTTGCCTTTTTATTTTCTTAACAGTGCCTTTCAAAGAATATAGGGTGTCCCCCCAAAATTTATACACACTTTAACAGCTGATAACTCACTTAATTTTCACTCCTTTTCAGGTCTAACCGATTTGAAATAATGGGTGAAGCCAGATTAAACTTTGAACAAAAAAAATTTATCCTAAAGNCTAACAGATTTGAAATAATGGGTGAAGCCAGATTAAACTTTGAACAAAAAAAATTTATCCTAAAGTGCCACTAGACTTTTTTTTATGGGGATACATAAAAGATAAAGTTTACGGTACAAAACTGGCACAGTCCACAACTTGAAGGCTCACAAACACCAAATGAAATGATGCTCGATGTTTGCGATTCCATAGCTTCATGTTATCAGCAGCGCCTGGACCAGAACGGTCATCAGTTTGAAAACAGGCATTGACAAAAAAATAATTATTCATTTCTGTAGATTCTTTTAAACTTTGAAAATGAACTGTATGTTAATAAACAATGACCTTATAATCATTCAAAGTGTGTATACATTTTGGGGGGATGATACGTAGATATTGTAAATTTTGCTGAGGTCTAAATGATCAATTTTTTCTTTTATAGTTTCTGCATTTTGTGTCCTTAAGAAATCACTGCCTAACCCAAGGTCATAAAAGATTTTCCTTTAGAATCTTTACTTTTTTGGTTTTTACATATAGTCGGAGATCCATTTCATGTAACTTTGTATATGTAGTACGAGGTATGGCTTGTGTTTCATTTTCATACATGTGGTTGTCTAATTGTTCCAGCACCACTTGTTGAAAAACAAAAACAAAAAAACACCTGTCCTCTCTCTATTGAGCTGACTTGGGGCCTCTGTCAAAAATCAAGTGTCCACATTTGTGTGGGCCTAATTCTGGACACTTTCTTCTACTGGTTTCCGTGTTTTCTCTTCTGCCAACACCACGCTGCTTTGATTACCGTAGCTTTAGAGTAACTCTTGAAATTTTAAGTTCTCAAAATTTTATTCTTTTTCAAAATCATTCTGTCTGTTCTAGTTCTCTATTTTTCCATAAAAATTTTAGACTCTTCTTGCCAATTTCTACAAAGTCTCTGGAAACTTTGATTGGGATTGTGAGGAATTTGTAGGTCAATGTAGAGAAGTGACAGCTAAATATTGAGACTTGAAATCCATGAACACATATCTTTCCATTTATTTAGTCTCACCTCCTCTCTTCAATGTTCTATAGTTTTCATCATATAAATATTACACATATTTTGTTAGATTTATCTCTACACATTTTATGTTTTTCTAAAAGTTTAGCAATGTTAGTATTCTATTGCCTTTGTTATATATATTTTAGAAAAATGCAGTAATTATTAATAAAGTAAAAATGTATTTGGAGTTCAAGTACAGCTCTAAGACATAAGTTACTTAGAAATTACTTTAATTTCCATTCAAAAAAGAGTAGTTTCTCTCCTAATATGGTCCCTCCTAATTTATTCTGCTCTGTACAGTTCTGATTAATAATGTGAATTTGGCAGGAAAGTCACCTCTCCATGGTAAGTAACTATGGTAACTGACTGGAATACCTGTAAAATGTCCTTTCCTTTTCTTTAAAAAAAAAATACTTTCTAGGTAAAACAGTTTGCAAGAGAATTTAATTATAGAATCTAGACTCAGTAATTCTGTAGCCATCCTGTTTGTTATTTACTGTTTTCCATCCTAAATAAATTTTCAATAACGTGCATAGTTTTCAAGGTATTGGGTAGTTTGCTAGGCATAGCTACATATTTATAACTAGTCCTTATTTTGTGTTTTTAACAATCTTCTGAAATAAGTACTATTGTTGTGCATTTGACAAATACAGGGGAGGGAAGTGAGGTTCAGAGAGATTAAAATTCCTAAGATAACAGCAAGCAGGTGGCAAAACAAAATTTGGCTTCAGGTCTAAATCCAGAGGTGTGCTCCCTGCGCCTGTGAGGCTGCTCTGGACCTGCCAAATGGGCTCGGGGATTCCCAAAGGGCAGCCCCACATCTAACGCCCGCCGCGCCCTACAGACCCCCCATCAGTGTGGTCAGGCTTAAAATGAAAACACCCGAGTCAGGAGTCATATCCACTTGAATGGGTGTTGTTAAAGTTAGGTACAACTTCAGATACTTTAAAACCCCAAAACATACACTTCAAAGCAAATGCTTAGATTACATTCTGGGTTCCTTAGTAAGCAAGGAACTTTCTCATATTTCTTTATCAAAATGTCTGTACCCACATCTGTCCTTCCAATCCAGATACCACCTGTGAAGTAGGGAACAGCTTAGAAAATGAGATTCAATTTAGGAAAAAGCAAGACGCAGGATCTCAAGTTTAGGGGAATCTGATGTGCTATGTTAACTGCGCAGGAAGCCAGTGGAAAGGGTCCGAAGCCCTGTACTTACTCTATGTAGCAGTCAGCACACTGAGGGTTAGGAAGTGCTTTGGAGAAACTGACCCTAAAAACATATGTTGCAACTAAAAAAAGCCCTTTCATATTAATTTTTCCCCAAAAAATTGCTTGGCAGAAGACAGCTAACATGCCACCTACATTTATCATGCTTCAGCAACAACTGCCAGTTCTAAACAGATCAGCACTGCAGCACGTAACAGCTCTTTTTTCGTGATAGCTTACCTGTGACATTCCGATCCCAGGCTCCTTTTTCTTCCACACTAACTGTGGTACAACAGGGTCGGACAGTAGTACAGAAAGCACGCCTGTTCTTTCCAACAGCCTCCGGCATCTGCCATGTTCGCAGGCCCACACAATTCTGAACCCAGGGCAGACTGACTTAATTACCTAGGAGCCCTGGGGCGTGCTCTGAATTACGTTTTCTAAACCTTTAAATTGGAGCTAGAAGCAGCAGCAGCATTCGCTTAACTACAGGGGAAAATCAACTCCCCAGTGCTGAAGGCTATGAAGACCCTGAGGATGGCCACTTGCAGACAGGCAAGGGGCTCTCCAAGGACTGTGGTCTCCCTCTGGATCGCTGACACATTTGGGAATGTTGGCTACGCAGTTGAAATAATCAATATGATACAAAGAGAAAGACTAGCTCTCTAAAGTAACCAAGACCCAAACCAGATGGGGTTTATCTTGAACAAGCAAAACTGTTCCAGTAACTCACTGCCATGTCCACTGCCCTCAGAACTTCTAAACCGGGAATAGAAAGTACGTCAAACTGAAATGGGCTTCAGGATGACTGGTGAGGAGCTCGACGCTCCTTTAGATTAAGGCTTGAAGCACCAGCAACGTTTCAGTGAAGGTCTGATGTATGACTCCGTTTTTGCCTAGTGTTTGACATGTGGACCCAGTTCTATATATTATGAAGAAAATATATAGAACTGTCCGGCCAGCGTGGCTCAGCGGTTGAGCATCGACCCGGTCAGGGCACAAGCCCTGGTTTTGAGCTCGATCCCCAGCGGGGGGCATGCAGGGGCAGCCAAAGAATGACTCTCTCCCCCCCCCTTTCCCTTCCTCTCTCTGAAATCAATAAAGACATATTTAAAAAAAAAAAAATTCACTAATATTTAAAAATGTATATATATATAATTGTTTAAAAATATAAGGTGACTCCTAAAATTACAACAGCAAAACGAAATCCACAGAACCAGCCCAATCAAAATCCCAAAGAAGAAAAAAACAGCTGAAAGAAAATCACGTATGATTGTTATTGATTCTAGAAGGTTATAGTCAGAAATATCATAAGATTTTAACACATTCATTCAGCAAATATTCATCTGCTGACCTCCCCTCAGGTGTCCCAAAGCTCACAGGGAAGATCAGGAAACCGAGGAGAGCCTGGGAACAATCTGCTCAAGGTTACATTACTAATCACTGCCAGACCCAAGACTCAAATTCAAGATCCCCATCTACTCAAAGACAAGAGCTTTGTTTACACAAGCCTTTGGATAGAAATGAACACTAACAACAATTTGCCGGACTCCTGAAGACACTGATAGACTCAGCAATTTAATTTAGACGCCAGGGCAACGCTGCTCCCCCATCTGCTTTATCCACACGCCTCCCACTTCAGGTGTTCCCAAAAGAATATGACTGTATTTAGCTGTTTTAGCTACTTACGTCATCAAGATAATGAAGCCAGGGCTACTGGTTCCTTATCACAAGGGACTTGCTATTTGTCATCGTGTATATTTAAAGCCAACAAGTGATTAGTGCAAATCTGTTTTCACTAGAGAACCTCACAGTGTAAAAGCATGAAAAGAGTTTGAATGAAGGGGGCTATCTTCATAACGACACAGGACATCAGTCTCCCCCTCCACTCTTGACCTGGAGACGGCATGTTAGATCCCCAAGGTCCCACAACCTGGCAGGGAAACTTCCCCGTGAACTGAAAGGTGAGTCTCTGATCTGGGTCCTCTCAGTGATGTGAGGCTCCGGGCTATCAGAACTGAACACAAACATCCCACCCCACACTCAAATTTTCCATCCGCAGGCTCACTCAGCCACATATGCCACCATCCCACGCTGACCACCTACTGGACTTTGTTTCCGCTTTCGGCAAAGAGGGTCTGACTCAAGCTACTGGTCTGTCCCAGTGGGATGAATCCGATGGGAATCTTACTGAAGGTGGCCTGGGAGAAAGAAGAGGAGGAAAGTTTTATTGTCATGCTCAGAAAATCAGGCTGAACAGAGAGGCACAGATGTGTCCGCTATAACAAACAACCAGAAATGACCGTGGGCTTGCCTCCCTCACGCCCTTCCCACGCCCTCCACCAATCAGGCAATACTAAGTGAGCAGCTTCTAAAAGGAGGCAGGCAGTCCATGAAAATGACGTGACTGAATGTGAAAGAAATATTTTGGTGCTCATTAACAGCAACTGCTTGAAAGAAATTTGGTTAAAAAAGGAGGGTCCTAAGATATTAGACAACAATTGTGACAGAGACTGTGTTATGTGGTCACACTATTGAAAAAGTTGCAGATAAAATCAACTAAAAATATCTAACATACGTACAGTAGCTGATGATGGCGAGAGTGCTCTATAAACTATCTCAGGTATAACTAAAGCAAAGGGAATCAGCGAGTTTGAGTAGCAGAAGGTGGTAACAGCACAGCTGACTTAATTAAATGCCACAAAGAGAGACTGTAAGGTCCTAAGGGCATGTTGAGGACAATCTACTATTATTGCCAAAGGGACTGGGAAGGGTCCCCTTTCTTGTTCTTATTTGCAAAATGTTTTAAACTATTATAGAAAAATGTCAAAATAATGCCACAAACACTCATACATCCATGACCCAGATTTAACGAATGCTACATTTTGCCATATTTGCTTCAGATGTTTTAAGAAATAAAATGACACAGACACGACGGATGTCGCTGTCCCGAGGGCAGGATGCCTTCCATCCCGGTGGTTACTCCCTCACTGCACAAGGCGTCCACTGACAGACGTCCATTTTTTACATTTTAAAACTGCAGGAATGCATAACCTGGCTTTTTACTTAATAATTTTTAGATTTATACCACAATTTATTTATAAAGGAATCCTTTGACAAAAGGCTATCTAGGAAAATTGTATATTTTAAACAACTCCTGGTGACAGTTGTTGGATACTCTGGATTCCCAAAGCAGAAAAGTCCACCATGGGTAATAAAAGTGTCCGAGGACACAGGCAGCTGTGCTTGTCTTTCTAAAACCCAAGGACACACAACTTGTGCCACCTTAAAATATAACATGGGGGAAAAGGTAAAAGAGGGAAGTAAAGACACATAAAAAGAGCAGAAACGTAAAAGTAAAATGCAATGATGCTTCTTAAAAGCTCACCTCGTCCGCTCTTCGAAGAACTCCGGTAATAACCTACAAATGTTACCAAAAAATTATGAACATGTATTTCCTTTATCATAAAAGAACCGGATTCAATTTTCACAGCCCACGAACTTGTTCCTGTTTTCTTCCCAGAAACTACACCAGAAGCTGTACTGACTCTTGAAACACGCAGATTCCAACAGGGTCAGGGCTCAATTAAACTGTGTTCATAGTACAATGAAGAATCAGATAAAATAATTATAAAACCTCCACATTGTTAGAATTATGTTTTCAGTTCTAGAAGGTGGGTATAAATGTGCCGCTCACGTCAACTGTGCACAAGACCCTCGTCTGCCCCCATAGAGAGCACGGATAAGAGAAATAACCTGTGGCTCCCTCAGAGAAGCCTGCTCTCCACAAATGTTTCTTACTGGTGAAGGAAAAGACATGGGGGATAGCAGTCCCCCTAGGAAAAGATAGTTTTCATTTGAATGTTTACATAATTTTATTTAATTATTTATTTATTCATTCATTTATTACTTTTTTCAGAGAGGGAGAAGAAAGGAGAGGGAAAGAGAGTCATTGATCGGCTGCCTCCTGCATGCCTCTTTCTGGGGACCAAGCCCACAACCCAGGCATGTGCCCTGACCAGNTTTACTTATTTATTTATTCATTCATTTATTACTTTTTTCAGAGAGGGAGAAGAAAGGAGAGGGAAAGAGAGTCATTCATCGGCTGCCTCCTGCATGCCTCTTTCTGGGGACCAAGCCCACAACCCAGGCATGTGCCCTGACCAGGAATCGAACTGGACACTTCTCGGTGCACAGGACGACACCCAACCAACTGAGCCACACCGGCCAGGGCTATTTTTTTATTTTTAAAATATAGTATGTATGTCTTGTAAAAAGTGAAAAATACCTGAAGAAAAAATGCTTCCTCTTAAAGCCACCATGCAGAATAACCTTCATTAATCAGTCATTTATATTTTGATACATTTCCCTCCAATTCCTTTTCAGGGGGCACATTTTCATGACTGGATTCTACCAAATACACAATTTGCTGTCTTTCTAAAAAAGATTTTGTAAAGTGGAGGCTGATGCCTCATCTCCTGCCTCACTGCACTTTAGGAGTAAAGGGGGCTGTCACGAGGTCTCCCTTCTTCCTTGGGAAGGGATCAGTATTCAGCGCACTTCATTAAAAAGCCGTGAAAACAATTACAAGATCATTAGCACANCCGCACTTCATTAAAAAGCCATGAAAACAATTACAAGATCATTAGCACAACCTTTTAAAAAGGAGCTTACGAAGGCTCACATAATTGCTGAGTCAAACACAGGACAGCCCTGGCTGGTATGGCTCAGTTGGCTGGGCACTGTCCCATGTACCAAGAGGACGCCTGTTTGATTCCTGGTGGGGCACATGCCCGGGTTGCGGGCTCGATCCCTGGCAGGGGGTGCAGGAGGCAGCCGATCAATGACTCTCTCCTCTCCCCCTTCCTCTCTCTCTAAAATCAATAAAACATTAAAAAAAAAAAAAAAAAGACCGTGCCCTGTCTGCGTAAGCTCCAGATTCCTGACCACCAATGAAACCACCAAACGGAGGTCAAAGGCGATCAGAGGTGAGGCGTGGGCTGCACACAGGATGGAAAGGTGAGCGGGAGGGCAGCCTGCGCCCAGCCCTTTTGGGGTTTCCAGTATATAATGGAGGTTCTAGTCTATTGCTGGGAAAAGAGCACTTCCGACGATACACTCCTGTCCTTACTGGACCAAAGTAAACACTAAGGACGTGGGATTTCAGAACAGAGACGGATGCACCACCTGAATATGGGGACCTCGCCTCTCAACGTGCTATCAGGAGACGAAACGTGACAGAGATGAAGTGAGAAGAGACAGATGCCTCTTTTAAGGGAATCTTTATTTGTTTCTTTTATAAGAAACATCCCTCATCACTGAAACTACGATTCCCATAACCGTCTTCAAAATATAAAAAGCTTATCGTGCCCACCACCACTGCTTTCTGTTTTATCCAATTTTATCAGACTTAAACGGTGTGTGAGAAAGACATAATGCTCTAATTGTTTCAGAAACAATCCTAAAACATGGAGTACAAAGAAATCATTTCCTTAGATTATAACCACTTTATGCCGCTGCTCCACCACCAACTTCCTGTCTCCCTCACCTCCCGAAGCTGTCGCACAGGGAAAGGGCCATACCTCCTGCAGTGTCCCGTCTCCTCCAGCAACGATGATGACGTCCGTGTTCTCCATCAGCTCCAGGAGCTTCTTGGCTTGGCCCTCATAATCTGTCTGAAATACATAAAGGGAGCCTTCGGTCAACTTACCATCCTCGGGCCACTGGCGACAGGTTTAAAAATACAGGTTATTTTCTTCAAAGTCTGACGTTGAGTCTTTTCTTAAATTCCACATAATTGGCAGACATGAAACACTCAACAGCTAACAAAGAACTCCTCGTGGTTTTTATAGTTTTATACTTTCTGAGCCTGAAGGGACCTCAGAAACCGTCCAGCCAGCTCCTTACTGATTTGTCTCAGGTACAGTTAGCTTGTCTGAGGATCCATTTCCAGTCCAGGGCAGTCTACGGCATCACTAGCAGGAAGGCAAGTGCAAATGCAAACGAGAAGCTAAGGGAGTGAACAGAGCACAGATCCGGGAGCCCAAGAGACCTCGATTATGTCTCAACTCAGCTACTTTTTAGCTGAGTGGCCTTAAACTCTCTCACCCACCCCTACCCCCACCTTCCCTCTGAAAAATAGTTGTCGAGGCTGTTTGTTATATAGCAATAGAGAACTAGCATAGAAATAAATCTAAATATGTTAACAATTATAAAAAATGTTAAAGGATTAAGTGGTCCAGTCAGTCAAAAGACCAGTGATTTTTAAAATATCCTGTTTTCACACCTTTACAAATGATGCCTCTAAAATATAAGGATACAAAAGGCTGAAAGTACAGAGATGTAAAAATTAACGCAAAAACTAACCAAAGTCAGCCAGTGTAGTTACTACTAATGATAGATAAGAAAGACTATGGAAAAGGCAGGATTCGTGCTAAAGAGAGTTGCTCTATGACAGGGTCAAAATGCAAGAAAAATAAAATAATCTGAAACGAGCGCATCTACGAACAGTCTCAAAATATAAAAAGCCAAAACAGATAAAACTACGTAGTGAAAGAGACAAACCCACAATTACAGTGGGAGATTTCCAGCACCTCTCGCTCTGAATAATTTATAGTTAAAACGGAAGAAAAAAGTCAGTAAGGACACAGAAGATTTAAGCCACACACCAGATTTGACTAAATGGACACATATAGAACTCGATCTCCAGTAACTGATACAGATCCTTTTTAAGCAAACATGAGACACTTAGGAAAACAAACCACATGTTAGGCCATAAAACAAGCTCCATAAATTTTAAAATAATGGAATTATACAGACTACACTCTTTGATCAAAACACAATAAAATCAGAAATCATTAGCATAAAGATTTGGAAAAACTTTAAATCTGGAAATTTAAAATCATGCCTGCATAACTCATAGGTCAAACAAAAACCATGATAAAAATCAGAAAATACTTAGAAATGAAAATATTACACATCGAAACTTCTAGGATGAGGCTGAAGTTGTAGAGTAAAATTTATAGCTTTAAATGCATACAGCAGGACAGAAGGGTGAAAATTGATGAAATAAACATCCACATTAAAATGTCAGAAAGGGGCAGCGGAAAAAAATCCAAAAAAAGTAGAATGAAGGAAACAATAAAGGCAAACAAGAAATTAATGAAACAAACATAAATGAGAGGATCCACAAGCCAAAAGATGGTTCTTGGAAAGGATTAATTAAATTGATGCACCTCTCATGAGACTATGGAGAGAAAGAAAAAAAAGAGGGGACATACACACTATATTAGGCATGAACATGCGATATTACAGATGTTACAGGAGTCTAAAAGTTAAAGAGGATATCATGAACAACCTGATCACAATTAATTTGAAAATGTTGATGAAATGAACAAATTCCTTGAAAAATTTAGCTTTCCAAAATTAATTTAAGAAAAAATAGAACTTGAGTACTTCTAGAGCCATTAAATAAATTTAACACATATAAATAAATAAGCCCTCAAAGAAACCTCCAGGCCCAGATGGTTTTACTTGTGAGTTCAATCAAACACTCCAGGAACAAATAATACTAGTCTTAAGTAACCATTCCGTGACCTCCAACACACAGAACATGCATTACAGGGGCTCAAATAAAAGTTAGTATTTCCCCCCTTCCTGCATCCTGGAGGCAGACGACTGAAACCCCAAGTCTCTGAGAAGCTGGAGAAGAGAGTTTAGCATCGCATATAAGTTGGACTAAATGACCTTGTAATCGCTGTGATTTAATGAAAGTGTGTAAATGTTAAAAATAGGTTAACCAGACTTACCAACATGGCAACAATGACTTTCATCAACTATGCACACCTATTACACACCACACACACACCACTTAAAAGTCAACCAAGTGGAGTCCTGAAGCATCGTCTGAGATAACACAATTCCCTCAACCTTATTTTTGTCACCTCTTCTTATCTAAATCTTGCAAATTCTGAAGCTTTACCACTTAATATTCCTCACTAGAGAAAACAATGTTGACCTGTCTGTGGAACTAGCAAGAAATTAAATTAACTACTCAAACTGGCAGGGTTTTTCTTTTTTTTGAAAAAAAGAATTCTTACAGCTATAACAATGTTCACCTTCTGAGAGACAAGAATTCCATGTCTGATCTTCACATGAACAGAATCAAGTTTATTCCTCCATCTAACCCTAATCTGAAAATGAAAAGCCGACAACGCTTTAAAAAAATAAAACTGCTTTGACTAATTATCAGAACAAGTATACAACGTTGATTTCTCCGCTCTTGTCTTAAGCGAGAAGAGGTTTCTACAAACAAATCAAGAGAAGTGGCGATGTTACAAGGAGCAGCAGCTTGGATCAGGCAACGCTCTGGAGCAGTTCTCACCTTAACGACAGTCACATCCATGCCGGATAAGTGTAAAATCGGGGCAGCATTTTTTTCAAATAGAGTCCTTGCTTTGCTGTAGACAAAGGAAAAAACACAAATATTTAACACACATCCTCAAGAGAAGGAACAGAAAGCCCAACCACCTTCTCTAGTGCAGAACAAGACACAGACTAGGGAGCACGGGCTCCCTTTGTTCATTCAAGTACATGTTACTATAACATGAGGAAGGAGTTTCTACAGACAGAAACAGGCTGTGTCACTCGGGGCCCCTCTAGCACAAGAGCTCTATCCATTTGGGATGCGCCCNACTGTCACTCGGGGCCCCTCTAGCACAAGAGCTCTATCCATTTGGGATGCGCCCGTCCACAGTCCAGTTCCTCGAGAGGAAGAATATACATGGGATATGGCTCCAGACAGGAGTCAATGCTTGATTCATTCAACAAGTACTTACTGAGCACCTACTATGTGCTAGACAAAGCAGACAAAAATACTGGTAACTTAAGTCTAATGTATTAAGTCCTCAAGGAACTTACACTCCAGTGGTGGAAGGAAGAGAATGTATTACTGTGACATTTCTCATAGGGCAGCAGGGAACAGACTGAGCCAAGCAGAACACTGCTTAATTCTAAAGCAGTGGGCACAACTTTTGGGCAAGAAGCACATCATCTGTAACAGTTTCAAATACCATCTCCATTTCTTAAGTTTTAAACCTGCAGTAAAATCCCCGGAGGAAGAGCAAAATTCCTTTCCACGGGGGCCACGTTTCTGCTGGGACAGAGGGCAGTTAGAGATCATCTAACTACAGGATAGTCAGCAGCTTGCCCCAAACTCCCAGGCACAGCCGTGCCCTTCTGTGTGTTGCCCAGCACTGTGCACACACCTCTCTTGTCAACTGTCACACTGCATGATGATCAGTGACTTGCAAGACAACCTTTGGGACTAGACTTGAAGCCTTGCAAAAACAGACACCAAATCTTGAGTCCCTGAGTCCCCTGGCCTCCAGGAGTATGTCTGGCACAGGTAGCACATACTTAATAAGTATCTAATAGTATCTAATAAGTTAATGCACAAATGAAAGAAAGAATAAACCTACCCCAAACGCAGGCCTGTGAATTCTGAGGAAAAGGGAAGGATATGACTGTGATGTCTTGTAACAAGAGAAATAGTCACAAAGCCCTGGAAGAGTGTGTGTTGTAAAAATCCCATACACATCCGATAGTGACTCTTGTCCAAGTCAGGTCAGGATTCGGAGAAGCCTCAGAATCAAGGGACGCAGAGGTTGCAGAAAGTTCCCAATGGCATGGTCTCAAAGTTGAATCGATGTTAAACATACCAATCAGCTGATCTGTCTTATACCCAAATATTTTCAACTATCACATCGGAAACAAACTAGTACTTTTGAAACAGTCAACTAGCCAAACATCTAACTTTTACATCCACATTACTCAGTTTCCTTTCAAAAAGATTGTTTTTACCAGTGATGTATGCTTTGACTTTCGTGAAAATGTTGATTTTTAAAAATATTTTCATTGATTTTTTTTTTTAGAGAGAGAGGAAGGGAGGAGAGAGAAAGAGAAACATCAATGTGAGAGCAGAACACTGAGCGGCTGCCTCCTGCACGCCCCCTACCCGGGATCGAGCCTGCAACTCGGCCATGTGCCCCAACTGGGAATCAAACCAGCCATCTTTTGGTGCAGAGGACAACACCCAACCAACTNAGAGAGAGAGGAAGGGAGAAGGAGAGAGAAAGAGAAACATCAATGTGAGAGCAGAACACTGAGCGGCTGCCTCCTGCACGCCCCCTACCCGGGATCGAGCCTGCAACTCGGCCATGTGCCCCAACTGGGAATCAAACCAGCCATCTTTTGGTGCAGAGGACAACACCCAACCAACTGAGCCCCACCAGCCACCGTGAGAATGTTTTATGCTAGAGGCAGAGGCAGCCAGTGAGGAACACGTAGACCAAACTCAACATCCTCTGCACTAACGAGAACATTCACCAACGCAACAGCACACACAAAACATTTCCTGTTACGACTTAAACGGAAATCGAGAAGCTTGGATAAATGCTCACTAGAGCCATTCAAGAGAATACCTTAAACCAAGGGCCTAACTGAGCAGGTAACAAGCAAATCAAACAAACGCCCCCGACCTTTCCTGCTGCTCTGAATGCGTAACAGAATGAACATGAGAGACTAAATGGAGGTCTCTCCTTCCCAGCTCTGTTTCTGGGCCTTCACCCGAGAATAATGGGCTGCGGGAGTGATACTGCAAACGCTTCTCCTTCCCAGGATGCTTCCATTACTAGGCTGATGAGAAAGGATCTGCTGGAAGTGGACCGGATCTACCTCTGAGAAGCAAAACTCAGGAGAAGTCTCAATCTGCTATGTGGATTGCATACAGGAAGTCTGTAAACTCCTTTATGCTGGCTTAAGAAGTAAGACTNTGGATCTACCTCTGAGAAGCAAAACAGGAGAAGTCTCAATCTGCTATGTAGATCGCATACAGGAAGTCTGTAAACTCCTTTATGCTGGCTTAAGAAGTAAGACTGGAACACTTGGGCTTTATTCGAGCCTTTATGTGATGCCATGGTTACAGAAAAATTCTGAAATAAAAGTGAAGACTTTTTTCTTCTAATGTTCCATATAAAAGACTGAAAAACAGGTGTGACCAGCAAGAAATGCATTATTTATGATATAATTAAGGGTGAGACGGTGCTGGAAATACAATCTTTATATACTTGTAGCAATTTCCAGGTTCATGCACACACACAATAATTACTCTTTAATGTATTATTTATTAATGCTAAACACACAGTCATCTTATTATTTTTTAAATATATCTTTATTGATTTCAGAGAGAGGAAGGGAGAGGGAGAGAGAGAGAAACACCAATGATGAGAGAGTCACTGATCAGCTGCCACCTTCATGCCCCCTGCTGGGGATCGAGCCCACAACCTGGGCATGTGCCCCGACCGGGAATCGAACCCTGATCACCTGGATCCTAGGTCAACACTCAACCGCTGAGCCACGTCCCGCCAGGCAGTCATCTTATTTCTTAAAGCTCTTATGTAGTTTTAAACCAGAACTACATAATGAAAATGAAATAGCTACACAATAAATTATAAATGATGTGTCAGGGCAGAGTCAAGATGACAAAAATAGTGCAATGTTAGTGAAAGGTTGAAAAAGAGATGTCGGAGGGGTTTGAAGTGGCTGTCTTCTAGACTGTGCAGGGATTCACGTGCTAAACGGATGATGACTTCAGGAGAGAAAGCCTTTTCTTAGCCTCACCCTTAGAGAAGATATTATACTTTTAAACAAGAATCTATCTTTAAAAATGCAAATACATTTACATGTAAAAATGTAAACGAACCAAAAACGTAGTTTAAGTTTTAAAAAATGTATCTCTTAGAAGCAGAAACTCAAAATAACTGATTAGAGCTCAAACAAACTGCCATATATTTTTCGTCATCAGAGTTAGCAAATTGCTAACTTAACTCCAAAGGAACAGGACCTCGAACAGTTCAAGGAGGCAGCAGGAAAGGTACAAGCACTTTCAGGAAGGGAGGGAGAGCAAAGTAGAGAATGTTACTGTGAACCCGGCCTACAGGTCAATAATGACAGTAACAGCAGCTTATATTCCTGTTGTCCATGCTTGCTAGGAAATGGAAATATACCAAATACGTCAAAGGGATCATCACATTTAATCCCAAAGGCACCTATTATGTATGGTAATTTTATAAAGTATGGGCTATTCTCCCATTTTACAGATGAGTAAACTGAGCATGTAAGTCAAGTAGCTCCTGCAGTATCACAGAGCAGAAAATAGTTTATAGACCTGATCCTTCCTTCCCTCTAAAGCCCACAGAGTTCCGTGCCAGCTTCTGCCACAGACCACCACTGACCACTTAGCTATCTTTGGTATTTTGATTGTGTTGTGTCAGGACCTATTCAGTGGTTGGTATTATTGAGTAATGTTGTTAAACAAGAATGATCAATAGGATTTATGACTGATGTGTTTATGGGGGAAGGAAGTGGCTTTAACAAAGCCAGGCGAATAGGGTTCAATTAGGCAGAGTAATGGAGCCAATTTAAACAATCTGTAGGTAAATAGCTTAAATTGCTGAATTAAAAAGAAATAAGGCGTGACTTGTCCTCATATCTGTGAAGCCACACTATGTCCCAAGAAATTATTAGAGAAGCTTATTTCAGAAGCAGAAAGCTTTTCCTCTAAGATCAGGAACAAGACAAGGATACCTACTCTCATCACTTCTTTTCAGCATAGCACTGAAATCCTAGTCACAGCAATCATACAAGAAATAAAAGGCATTCAAACTGGAAAGTAAAACTCTCTTCATTTGCAGATGACATGATACTACATAGAGAAAACTGAAAGACTCCACCCAAAAACTGTTAGAACTAATAAATGGCTTCAGTAAAATTGTAGGATATAGAATCAACATATAGAAATCAATTGCACCCCAGCTGGGCGTGGCTCAGCGGTTGAGTGTCAACTTAGGATCCAGGCGATTGGGGTTCGATTCGCGGTCAGGGCACATGCCCGGGTTGCGGGCTCAATCCCCAGTCAGGGGCGTGCAGGAGGCAGCCGATCAGTGACTCTCATCATTGATGTTTCTATCTCTCTTTCCCTCTCCTTTCCTCTCTCTGAAATCAATATACATTTAAAAAAGAAAAAAATCAATTGCATTTCTGCACACCAATGAATGAATAATTAGATGAAAATAATTAAGAAAAACAATCCTATTTACAATTGCATCACAAAGCATAAAATANTGAATGATTAGATGAAAATAATTAAGAAAAACAATCCTATTTACAATTGCATCACAAAGCATAAAATACCTAGGAATAAATTTAACCAAAGAGGTGAAAGACCTGTACTCTAAAAACTATAAGAAATTGAAAAAAGAAATTAAACAAGACACAAATAAACGGAAGGATATACCTTGCTCATTAGAGTGAAAGGATTACTATTGTTAAAATGTCCTTACTACCTAAAGTAATATACAGATTCGATGCAATCCCTATTAAAATATCAATGGTAGTCTTCTCAGAATTAGAATTAATCCTAAAACTTATATGGAACCACAAAAGACCCCAAATAGTCAAAGAACTCATAAAAAAGAACAAAGTGGGAGATATCATACTCCCTGATACAAAACTATACTACAGAGCTACAATAATCAAAACACTACAGTACCGGCAAAAAAAAAGACACACAGACCGATGGGACAGAATTGAGAGCCCAGAAATAAACCCACACATATATGGCAACTAATTTTCAACAAAGGAGCCAAAAAGATGCAATGAAGAAAGGACAGCCTCTTCAGTAAATGGTGTTGGGAAAATTGGAAAGCCACATGCAAAACAATGAAACCACACACTGCTACCAGATACCATACATAAAAATTAACTCAAAATGGATTAAAGACTTGAATATAACACCTCAAACAACAAAATACATAGGAAATATAGTAACTGAACTTAAGGACCTTGGTCTCAGAGGGGTTTTTGTGAACTTGACCCCAAAGGCAGCGGAAATAAAAACAAAAATAAATGAATGGGACTATATCAAACTAAAAAGCTTCTGCACAGCAAAAGAAACCATCAACAAAGCAAAAAGGCAACCAAGTGAAAGGAAGAAGATATTTGCAAATGATACCTCTAATAAGGGGCTAATAGTAATATCCAAAATATAGAAAGAACCCATATAACTTAACAACAGAACAAACGGTCCAATTTTAAAAAGGGCAGACGACCTGAACAGACACTTCTCCCAGGAAGACCTACAGACGACCAACAGATACATAAAAAAATGCCCACCTTCCCTAGCTATTAGTAAAATGCAAATCGAAACCACAATGAGATACCAGCTTACACCTGTTAGGAGGGAAATTACCAATAAGACAAGAAATAACACGTCCTGGAGAAGATGTGGACAAGAAAGAAGCGTCACGCACTGCTGGTGGGAATGCATGTTCACACAGCTGCCAGGGAAGACAGTAGGAAGGTGCCTCAAACAATTAGCAGCATCGCTACCATGCGACCCAGCAATCCCTCTTCTGGGTATCTACCTGAAAAATTCGAAAACACTTATTTGTAAAGATATAGGTACCCCTATGCTATTGCAGCATTATTCACAGTAGCCAAGCTATGGAAGCAACCTAAGTGTCCTTCAAGAAGATGTGGTACCTACATACACTAGGACATAAAAAATGATGGAATAGTGCCTTTTCGACAACAGAGAAGGATCCTGAGAGTAGCACGCTAAGTGAAATAAGTCAGATGCTAAAGGACCAGAACCTTATGGTTTCACTCATATGTGGGATATAAAACAGAAAGCAACAAACGAACTAACAAAACAAACTCATTCATGCAGAAATCAGTGTGGTGGTTCCTACCCGAGGGGAAGGAGAGGGGGAGGACAACGAGGGTAAAGGAGGCAAACATATGGTGATGAAGAGAGACTAGACTTCGGTCGTGAGCACACGATGCAGTATACAGATGATATATTCTAGAACTGTATGACTGAAACATGTTGTTAACCAATGCTACCCCAGTAAATTTAATTTTTTAAAAAAAAGTACAGAGTTCCCTCAGACCCCTTGCCCCACTAGAGACACACTCTACCCCACACTTCCAATACCCCACACCAGTGTGGGACATGTTACAATAAATGAGCACATGGATANTTCCCTCAGACCCCTTGCCCCACTAGACACACACTCTACCCCACACTTCCAATACCCCACACCAGTGTGGGACATGTTACAATAAATGAGCACATGGATACACGATTATTACCCAAGGTCCCAAGTATCCCTCACACCTTAATTCCCACAGTTCCCTCACATGACTGTCCTGTGATACAGCAAGAGACATGGTTAGTCGCTCCTGTCTCTAGGCCCCTGTCCAGTGGACCGCGTATGTCTTCAGTCGAGAAGACTGAGTGTTCTCCCTCTGCCGACCTCCAAGACCTGGCTCAGGGCTCACTCCTTTAGGAAAGAGTGTTTCTGACCTTGCAAGCCCACAGAGCTCTGGGCTGTCTCTGAACATCTTNGCCACAGAGCTCTGGGCCGTCTCTGAACATCTTGTAACAAAGAAGGTCTAAGAGTTTACATCACAGCAGCAGCAGTTTTCCAAAGGGGCTGTTGCCAAGCAGAGGAGACTTATTTGTGAGTGTTAATTCTGGAATGATCAATGAACTTCAACTAGGCAAGTTTGTTCTGCACCAGTTAGCTTTACAGTTGTATCTCATTACCATTATTTCTCCATTACAAACAAACCTTATTGCTAGAAGAGTATTGAACCTAGTCCTTCCGATCCCAAATAATCCAACCAGCTGCCTGATGTTCTGTGATTTTTTTTGCTTTTTATAAAACCTGAGTATGTAACAAACCACATACCCTTTGCAGGCTGCAGGGTTGAGAAAGACGGTTGCTTTCTTTACTTGTGTGTTGGGAGGAATGAGCTGGTTGCCAAACACCTAAAGAGGAAAAAAGAAAAGTTGTAAATAAATGTCCTTTTATTCAGTTAGCACGATCACGTATATTCTTTCATTCCTAAAGAATTTACTTTCAGAGATATAATATCTTCTCCAGGAGAAAAAATGTTCTTTCATGATTTCATGTTCACAAAAACATTGTAAACAGCAACACAAAAGTGTACCATTGTTTAATATGCTGAGTTTTGGATTGTAATAAACAAGCCCTGCTTTACCTACTGGAAGTAAATTTTCTCCGTAAGATATGGCTAGGTTTATTATAAACACACAATGAGGAAGACAAGAGTCTGTCACAGGGGAATTTTAATCCATTTGTCTTTAGTTTTCAGAGTATAATCTTCTTCTACTTCAACTTATTACTAAAGCTTATTCATGAAGAATCTTTGTGTTATCAACTACTCTTCATATCTATATCTATCTATGTAAAACCTAATAGTTATCTGCCTCTTCTTTGCCACCTTGTATAATAATTAAATAGCATCAACTGTCACAGGAAAACAAATGTAATTAATGTTTACTAAGTGCCTAGTTATTTGCCAGTTTCACACACATTCTTCTAAGTTCTCAGAAACCTCGGTCTTAAATATTCTTATTTTAATAGTTTAGAAAAACAAGATTCAGAACGATTAAGTCAAAGTCACATTGTTAATAAGTGCAGCCTAGAATTTGCATCTATCTAACTCCAAAACCCAAACCTTTCCCACTGTATCAGCTCTAAAGAGCAGATCAAGAACGAGGCAGAATGAAGAAGCCAAGAGGTCTGGGCATGGGGACCAATGGGAGCGACCCCGCTCACGTCTGGATGGGCAAGATCCACAAACAGAACGGGAGTAGGGAAGCACCACCAAGGGCAAAATTCTGAGTCTTATTGGGTGGGGAGCAGGCCTGGGCCAAGAAGGCAGAAGCCAAGTATAGAAGTAGGAAGTAAATACAGGAAAAAATGAAGTTTAATAACCAGATTTTGATTAACTAGCTGACTCTAACTCTACCTCCTCCCTGAGAGTCCACTGGAGATCCTTTCTCACCATGGTCTATTTCTTGTTTAAAAAAATGAACTTTCTCTGAAAACTTCAGAAAGACATACTGTTTCTTTGTTTAAAAAAATTCTGGTACATTATAATTTCTATTCTATTTTCACCCTTACTGAATTAGACCTTAACATTTTGCTGCCAATTCTCCAAATACTATAATTTGTTCTTGTTCTATCCATACTATTTCTGGAGTGTGGCCAGAAATAATACAATGAGCCAGGTCCCCACACCGACCGATTCCAGATCTCCAGTTTCAGACTATTCTTCCTTGTCCTGGTTCCTAGTCTCTATTTTAACTTGCAACTCAGGTCTCAGGTTTACAGTGGGTGAAGGAGTTTATGGAAGACCACAGTGAGCTAAGTTTAAGTTTGCATGATATTAAAAAAAAAAATCACATTCTTTCAAGAATGTAGACTGTAAAGGGAAGGACATAAACAGGAAAACTAACTAGAGGAGGCTCTAAGAATGAATTCACTTATATGCGGTAGAAGGAGCTAAGCATGTGCTGGGAACTGGAGAATTAGAACAGTGGGAAGAGGTAAAATATATGCAAGGGAGGAAGTAACTCAGGGGACATGGTCTCTGAGAAAGTAGACGAAGCTCCAAACAGAGGTGGAGGCACCTACCTCCAGAAAGGGAGAACCCAAGGACCATTCTTTCTGGAAGGAAGGAGAGAGGGAGGGAGGGACCAACAGCGGGAGGCAGAAAGAAAGGGCTCCCCTCCCAAGAGAATTTTCCAGGTGGTAATGGAAAATCAGCTTGGGGTGGGGATCACCTTGACTTTAATAAGACATTTACTTGGGTTGATTTCCAAAACAACTTAGAGTCATATGAAATGAAACAAACAAAAAAGTACTCAAATTCTGTAAACACAGATTCAGAAGCTAGATACTCACTAAAGAGAGGATTTTACTCCAGTATCTACTGTCATCCATGAAAACATTTCAGGGACAAACAGGAGTTTTGCCACCCACGTCTCCTACTCTGTGCATCAACCTTTTTCACTTCCTGTTTCTTTTTGGTATTTCTGACATCATAAACTTAAATGACATAAACGGAAAGGCAACTCAGTCATGGAAATTCCCCTGCAAGGTATAACGTACAAATACGGAGGGGAGGGAAAAACAAAAAGGATTTACAATTCCACTGTAACTCATGCAGCGAGATGCCCGAATATTTAAGGGCACCGTCTATCATGGGGCTAGACAGCAATGCACAGGGTGTGAGCGAGCTGCGCCAAGAGGCAGGCTTTCAAAACACCAACTGACAGTTTTAAGAAGATTCACTTGGCGAGGTACCACCTGTTCTGAACCGATATCCTCGGGGGTTACTGGATCGGGATGACCCCGGGGTTCAGCCCACCCTCAAGGAGAACTGGTGATGGGAACTAACTCCCAGCACTCCAACCCATGCGCTCCCAGGACTAATCCAGAAGCAAACAAGTCCCACGAGGCGGGCGCTGGGCTGCTCTTTACCAGATGGTCAACTTCCTCCAGCTCTAGGCAGAGCTGGCTCTCAGCCTGAGCCACCCCGACAGCGGGAAAGCAGCCAGGCCTCAGATGCCAGGCTCCGCGCGAGGCCCGAGGGCATGGAAGAGCCGAGCTTCTGCATGATGGAGATAAGGCAGTTCGAACCGTTTCCCGGTGAAGGGCATTACCTGGGCTTCCTGGCAGGCGGCTCTCCTCAGCAGGTTATCACTATCAAAGTAAACAGAAGACAGGGAACGTCAGCTTTGACAAGGAGGCCCAAATCCAAACAAAACTTCTTTGTGGAATGTGTGCAAGTCTTCCCTATAAAATGCCCAAGTGAAAGTTTCTTCAAGCCTGGGAAACAAATGATGAGCATGTCTGAAAAACACTGTCCCTGAATGAACCCCTGTGCTAATGATTTCCGTCCCCCGGCAGGCAGAATCAAGCCCCCTGAAATGCCCACACCCTAATCCTGAACCTGAGAGCACACTCCTTCCCAGATGCGATCAGGTTAGAACCTGGAGCTGAGCAGGTCGTCAGGGACTGTGAAGGTGAGCCTAGTTTGATCACAAGGGTCCTGAAAGCAGACACTTTCCCGGCTGCGATGAGCAGCAAATCTGATTAAGAAGGATGGTCAGAGAGGCAACCATGCTGGCGTGGAAGATGGAAGTCAGGAATGTGGGTGCCTCCTAGGAGCTGGAGAGGAGGAACTGGGTCCCTCCCCAGAGCCTCCAGAGCAGTGCAGTGCTTGCTGACACCTTGATTTGAGCCCAGCAAGACCTGCGGTGGATTCTGACCCACAGAGCTTAAGGTGATAAACTTGCGTTGTGCTAAATCACTAATGTTGTGATCATCTGTTGGGCAGCCATAGGAAAGTACTGCACCTACCCTGCATTTCCTTACCCAGTGGAAATACTCAGGTCCTTCACCAGAAATAAATTTGATGTTCAGCTGCTTCTGCTACTGTTTAATCTAACACACACACACACACACGTATATATCTGTTAATCTTCATCTGAAGATATTTTTCCCATTGATTTTGTTAGAGAGAGTGGAAAGGAGGGAAGAAGAGAAAGAAAGAGAGGGAAACATTGATGTGAGAAAGATACATCAGTTGGTTGCCTCCCATACACGCCCTGACCAGGGCCAGGGATCGAACCTGAAACCCAGGCACGTGCCCTTGACCGGGAATCAAGCCCAAGACCCTTCAGTGCGCAGGCTGATGCTCTAACTACTGAGCAACACCGATCAGGGCTTAATATACTGAATTTTAATGTGTCAAATGGAATATGCTGTCAGTACTACCTGTGAGAAAGCCAGAATATATATCAATTTAGACACTACAAAAGAAAATCTCATTATAGTAATACTCTTACTAAATATCAAAAATAGTATTAACCATCTTGATCTTACTCTGTGAACCAGGTTGTTTCTAAAAATCAGACACATTCTCAAAGAAAAAACAATTTCTCCCATTGAGCTATTCTGGNTCCAAAACTGTTTCATTGGAATAAAAGCATTGTTGGAATAAAAGAGAAAGTAAGTTAAAATTCATAGAGCAACTACCATGTACCAGGTACTACAGCAGATGGTTTATAAACCCTGAATCTTTGCAACAACCTGGCAAGGCAGGCAGTGTACTCTCACTTTAACAGACGAGGAAGCTGAGGCTCAGAGAAGGAAATCGACTTGCCCAAGAGCACGAAGTTACTAAGAGGCAGAGCAGAACTCAAGCGCGTGCCACCTGACTCTAACGCAAATGCTTCAGTGCTTTTTCTTGGCAATATAAGACAATAAATACTAAACAAGCAATACTCGTTTGGATGTATATTTTACAGCACACTTATTAAATTAATCACATTACTTCCTAGTCTCATCTGATATAACTTTTAGATTTACACTCAATTCATATTTATATAAGCTCTGGTGAAGTAAAGCTGCCACAGTAATTGGTGAAACAAACGCACTTAACACAAAGTGCCAGGCACAGTACAATGAACATGATTTGGTCCTGCCCCGAAGCAGCTTTGGATCAAGTGACAAAGAGCAGCTGCTGGTAAGTACCGGTGGTAATAGTAAGACACACACTGCGCTCTTGGTAAATAATATGCCAGGCACTGTGCCAGGTGTCTGGGATAGACTGGTAAATAAGGCCAACACCCCTATCACCATACATTTTACTGTTTCGAAGGGAAGGAGGGCAATTCAACAGGCAATCACCATGTGATTTGACTTCTATCTGCTGCATTAAAAGGGCCATTACTAAGAGAACTAACCCAGTCTTGGGGGCATTAAAAAAGGCTTTATAGGAAATGACACTGAAGTCGAGACCAGGGGAGAAATCAAAAGTAGTCAAGCAAAAATAGGAAAGAGAATCTCAGCAAAGGAAATGGAAGGGGGGCGGGATTTAAAAGCCCCAAGTGCTAGAGCAGGAACAATGTGGGACCCTAGAGGCAGTTTTGGGGACTGGAGGCAGCAGGCCAAGGGAGGGGCAGAGGAGAGCAGGTTTGAGTCAGGTACAAGCTGGATCGCCAGGGGCCACTGAAGCTAGTGAAGGAATTTGTATTTTTTCCTAAGGGCCATAAGAAGCCACTGAGAGGTTTTAACAAGAGAGCTGATGTAACCAGCTTTACATTTGAGAAGGGTCGTTCTGGTTGCAGCTGAAGACAACACTGGTCAAAGCTCTTCAGGAATTGCAGGTCAGTGAGGACAGCAATGGCAACGATGATGAAGGGAACCAGGATCCTGGCAGTGGGGACAGATTCAGCAGATACTTAGGAGGTAAACTTAAGGGTTGGCTCCTGGGACTTAAAGGAAAGGGAAGAGTCGGTGCCCGAGTTTCTGTCCTGAGCCATCTGACCGAAGGTGGCGCCACTCACGGAGATGCAAAGCAGGGGAGGTGCAGGTTTAGGAGGAAGCAGCCGAGTTTAGCTCTGGGTCTGCTGATCTGAGAGTGAGGAGACTTCGGGTGCAGGTGTCCAGGGCATAGCTGGAAACACCTCTGGAGCTGCAGTCTGCCATCGTGACTAAGGGTAGGCATGGTAACAGGAGGGACGAGAGTGGATAGAGCGTACAAGCAGGGGGAGCAGTGGAGGCAGCAGAGACAGGGAGCCTGGGCACTGGGGCAGGTGACGGGAAACACCAACTGAAGTTCCAGGAACTGACACTGCACCTCATCTGAAAGTCACGAGGGAAAATGCGGTGGGCAATGGAGGAAAAGCTTAAGCACCATTCCCCGAATCTCCCACCATCCCCTTGACACCGCCTCTCCTCTCAACAAACTGCATGCCTTGCTGTTCCTAAAAGGCATGAGGATTTACCCCTCAGGGGCTGGTNGGCCAAACACACACCACCCACGCCTTCCACCACACACATTGACTGTCCCGGCTTTCTTCCCTGACCACGACTGTCTTGACCCATGGACTGGCTGATTCACCATCTCCTCTTCCACAGCACCAACTCCGGGGGTAGAAGGTACTCAGTAAATGCCTGTTTAATAAATAAGTGGCAAGTGTCTGAACAGGAGACGGACTCACTGCGCTCAGACAGACAGGCTTTGTCCTGTGGGAAAAACCAAAGGGTATTCTTTGCGTGAGCATTTGGCATTCTGGGACCCGGAGGCCGGATGGGATGGTCCTTCAGTGTGATTACCCCCAAAAATCTTACAACAGTCGTGGGAGTGTTACTAGAGCAAGAAGACCCAAGGGGGTGTGTGTCTGTGTGTCTGTGTGTGGTCTGTGTGTGTGGGGGGGTGTTTGGGGAGAGGGAAATGGAACTAAGGACCCTCTAAAAAGGCTAAGTGAAGAACCAGTGGCTGACGCTGGTCATCAGAGAAATCCCAGTGCTCATGGGTCAAGAATCTGAATGTGAGCTAAAGACCGTTACAAAAAAAACCAAGAGGCGAAAAGGCACTGTATATAAATTCCAACCCGTGTTTTTTCCTCTTTCCACTACACCATGCTGTCTCCGGGGAGAACAGAGGTTAAACACAATTTAGAAGAGGTGCTACGAGATGCAGTCATATCAGAAAGGGTCCCTGAAGACCTGCTCAGTCCTCAAATGCAGGTTTTCTTTGACAGAGAGAAATTAGAAGCTTCTGGATTATAAAACGAAAAGTCTGCTGATGTCACCCAGCTTGAGGCTGTAAAAGCACACGACCGTGCCGCTGCCACAGGAAATGAGATGTTCTCATTTATGCTAAGCTATAAATGTTTTATTTATTACTTTAGAACTGCAAAATATGATAAGTTGTTATTTCAGTAACAACTTCACATGGAGAGGAAAATCACATTGACCCAACCTATCTCCCTAAAAACAGTATTTCCCACTATAGTCCGGAGGCGAATTGGACAGTATTTCCCACCAGTCTGTCCCGTGGTGGACGCAAACACAGTTTTTGCTTTACACAAATCACATTTCAAGTTTCGATGTTTATTGCAACTACCCCAACTTGTCCGAGCTTCCCAGAATAATGCATCATTCCATGGCCAGGGGCAGTGTCCACTGGTTGCCCATGTCACAGTGGGGACCGGGGGGGGGGAGCCAAGATGAACATGAGCCTCAGCGAAGGGGCTCTCGTGTGCAGAGGGGAGAGCTTCTTCAAGCTACACATCGCCCCCACCTCCCACACGCCGGAGCCCTTGCCCACACAGATAATGGTTTTGGCGGTGAGCCTCTGCATTCGTGGGAAAATGCTGACCGTGTCTGCCCGAGAGAAAGACGTGCGACCACAGAAGGGATCGCCACCTGCTAAGGAGGAAGTCTTGATCTGCTGGACCTGGAGAATGTCGGCGAGGACAGGAGAAAACGGGTGGTGTGAGAGGTCGGGAACTAAGAGAACAGTGAAAGTGTTGACGATTTTTATAAGGATTGTAGGGCCTCCTGGTCTGGTCTTTCCACCACCCAAAGGGTGATAGCATCTCTTCCCGTTCTCCAGGCCTCCCCATCACGTGCCACCTGCTACTTACGAATGTGCATCTTCTTACCTGTCCCAAGCACAGTGAGATGGAGAACTTCCCTAATGCCATGAAAGTACAAGGGTCAGAGGAAAATCCTACTGATCTATATAGTAAGAGGTGACTGTCTTCATTTCAATACCCCTTAGAGTGCAGGAGAGAGGAGAGAACATAGGAGCCCACACCTCTGTTGCTGATGGTGAAAGTTTAGGAAAAGAAAAGGAAAGAGAACAGTGTCTACCGGCAAATGCAAAGGACAGCGCAAGGTGCTGC